AACGGAAAGTAAAACAAGTTCACAGACCCAAGTGCCTCACCTTCATTTGTGTCTCAGAGTGGAGGACGAGGCAGCGGAGTTAGCGCTTCACCTCCATTTAAATGTAATGCTTATCCCAATGTAATGCTCAATAAATTGCCCTACAAAAATATAAGTGAATGTGGATTGCTAGTTTCTGCTCCCTCCTATGTGTCCCGCTCGCTTTGCAGAGGTCTTTTGGATCATTCACTGTGGACCGATCAAGAGTATCCGTGGTATGATCCTTGCTCCCCGAATTCTTACCTTCCTTTTTGAAGACCTCAAGCCCTCTGGCCCTCGGCTTATGACTAAACTGGTAAATTCTTCCTTTCAGTTCACTAGTATGTAGGGATTCTTTGTAACTGATTAACACAACCTCCTTGACAAAAATAGGACCACTGCAGCCAGGAGATTTGGGCTGCAAGCAGAGGAAAGCCACCTAGACCAATTTGTTACAAAGCACGATAAACAACATGGTTAATAGAACTGGCTTTTTTTTTTTTTTTTTCCATCTGCCACTTCATTTATTGTTTTTATTTGCAGGAGGAGTTGAAACAAATTTTGTGTTTTTCTTTTTCCCCTAAACATGAATCATTCAAGTAAAACCAACTTAATATAGGAATGCAGCAAAGTAAACAACAATCCAAGAAACACAGGTTGGGGGGAAGAGGAGGTGGAGTCCACATAGAGCATACACACAGATGCCATGTGGTTCTCCTGCCCAGGACAGCCTCCTCAGCAGGTGAGCACAAGGACCCACTGTAAGAGGATGTTTACCCCCAGACATCTGAGAATGTTTCACCGTAAAGTGTAAGATTAAAAAGATAAAGAAAAAAATAACCAAAAAAACCCACATAACCCCAAGAACCACCCAGCCATAACCACCTTCCTTAATCGATCATAGGCATTTCTTTCATTTTATAAAAAGATTGATAAAAATATTGAAAAATTATTTTCTCATCTTGTATTTGTTTTTTTTTTTCAAAAAAAATTTTTTTTTATTTATTAGAGAGAGAGAGAGAGAGAGAGAGAGAGAGGTGTGTGTGTGTGGCCAGCTCAGCCCACCAGGGGGCGGGGCTGGCTGGCATGTGGTGCTGGGGGATTGAACCGCGGTCCCTGATGCTTTGCCAAGCTAGTTCCAAGGAGGTGCTTTAGACCACTGAGCCATCTCTCCAGCCCCTCTCATCTTATATTTGTAAAGATAATAGAATTTAGAAGTATCTTAGAAAACCAACCAGAAACTGTCCTCCACTTTCCACCCATATTGCTGAGGATCAGCAGGACTAGAAAGTTTGAGATATTGGAGCTGCTGGTGGAGAATGGGAAGCCTAGCCCAGGAGAAATCAGAAAATACAGGAGCAGATGCCTGGGAAGTGGTCAGGAGCAGCTCCATGTGACACATGGCTGTGCAGAAAAAGGGGAACACAAGGTGGTCAGAAAGGCCTTAAACTTCTCCTTGACATACAAAACTGGATTTTTACAAAGATCCAATCAGTTTGGTCCCAAACTGAGGTGAACATTTCAACGTTTATTCACATGCTTTTTTTTTTTTTTTTTTT